GACCCCCCGTACTCCACCCTCCTCCTCTTTTATTTTTTCCCCCCCCCAGGAACACAGGCATTTCGCCGCGTTTTAAACACCCGTTGGCTGAGGACAGATTCGGGCCACAAATTTCACCTGTAGCACGCACCCCAGCGCTGCTCCTAGCAGTGCTGGCTCCTTCCAGGCGCCTCCGGACAGCGATTTTCTCGGCTCCACCGCCCCCTGCGGGCTCGCGCCACAATTTCCGTCGAGTTCCCGGGGAAAGCACAGCCTTGGCTCGCCTCCCGGCTTCGACGGCAGGCAGCAGCGACAGAGGGCCCCGTGAGTTCGCTCACCCTCCGACGCACCAGCGCCGGAGGACTTAAGCCCCCCGGGGAGGTGAAACGGGAGGCCGCTGCAACATTTCGCTCCTTCCCTTGCCTCTGGTGGGTCTCCAGGTCCCACAGACCTCCTTGCTTTGGGATTTAAACCTCCCAGCTTGTTTTTTCCCCTAAAAAAAGGCTGTTGTGCTACCAGCTGTCCTTTAAGACACCTAAATACCTGCTCTCTTATTAGATTGCTATTCAAGCAGGGAGAGGAGACACGCAGTTAAAACAGCAACGGAGTCTTACTGCCGGGGTAGCGACTGCTCGGGGAGCCGGGATGTCAGGAGCCTCTGACCAGCACCGCAGAGCTACGAATACGGACGCTCAGAGAGCAACCTGCCGGCAGCAGGGCAGGCCAAAAACTTCGCCCGGGAGGAAGGAAAAGGGGTCGGGAAAGACCTCCCTGCTGGGGAGGTACCTGGGGCTGTGCCATACAGAGACGGCGCAAACAGCCACCCGTGCCAGGAATGAGGTTTTCGGGCACAAAAACCTGGCTTTAGCCTCCGAGAGAGACGGCGGGCACCGAGCGCAGGCTGGGAAAAGCCTCCTCAGCTCAGTTTGGACAGCACCGGCCGGTTTCCTCCGTCCGGACCCTGCAGCAGCGAGGGGAGGGACGGGGATGGATGGAGGACGCGCGGGTCTCCCAACCGTCAGAAAAGATGCCTCGTAACCAGCCTCAGACTCAGTAGAAAGTATTTATTTCATTTACGATAAGCCCCACACTGAAAGGTGAAAAAATAGTTACAAAAAAGATCCCCCCCCATCCCTCCTTTTATGTATAAATATTAAAAATCCCTCTACATCTTTGCTTTCCGACTAGAGCAAGAAAGTGCCCCACGAGACAACACGCGGGCACCTGAGCTACCGTCAGTGGTTTCCTTCCAAAACCGCAGAAAGAGTATTAAAAAAAGCCCTCAGGAAGCCCCTCAGCCCCTGGGGCCGTGTGGCCGAAGGGGGACAGAGGCTCGGCGCAACCCTCGATTTCGGGGCTTGCGGGTCCCGGGCGGTGGGGCCGGGCCGCGGCGCTGGGCGAGCGAACAAAGCAGCAGCAGGAACCGTCCGCGCTCACCCGCAAGGGCCAGAGACGGATCCACGCCTCCTGCGGCTTCGCCGTCAC